GGCCCGAGCTGCGGGGGGGCGGAGCAGACGCGTTTTTCGGGGAGAAAAGGAACTTGCTGAAGGCGGTGACGTAGCGCACCGTGAACGGCACTTGCCCGACCCTCTTCCTTCTTGAGGTCGGGGACCGGCAGCGCCTTTACGCGCCACGTTTGCCCGCTCTGAAAACGGCCTACTCGGGACTTTCTGTGGCGGAAATTATACTTTGCCTCTTAAAAACAGTAAACCCTTAAAATGAGGGGTTTTTTTCCCTGTTGTAGTTTTTATGCACTGTAAACGCTTCAGAGGTGTTGAACTTTGGGTTAATGTACACAGGTAGTATTTTAGTGAATGATATAGAAGCTGCATCAGCTTTAGCAAGCTATTTAATTCACCCGTGTTGCAATTAAGCAGGTCCGACACCTTAATCTCATAACTTCATAAAACGATTCTCTTACAGCCAGCCTACATGAACGTAAATGCTTGCCAAACCCCTCAGTGTTTGCACGCTTTTTTTTTTTTTTTAGTTTCTTGTGTAAGTTCTTACTTTGGCCTTGTCCTCCCCAGTGATAATTGTATACTGAATTTTCTGGCTGCATATATGCTTGGAATGGCAATGAATGACAATGCAAGGTAGCCAGCATGGGTGAGAGAGCAAAATCAGACAGTCGAAGCTCCAGTTGCAGGATCAAACCCATTATTTATCCTGCTGTTATACTTCCTTGTTTTGCTAGCGTTTTGCCATCAAGAGATTTCTCTTTTTGCTTATCTCAGTTCTAGCTAGAAATATTCATCTCTTTCAAGAAAGTTTGGGGTGAATTTTGGTAGCGTGAGTGCTGACTTCTGAGCTGGTACTTCATGCTACATGTCTGTAAGGTTTCCCTAATGTGGAAAGATTACGCTTGTTTCTTTTTTATGATTTACAGATTCAGGAAGAGTCAGAAATGTGGAAAATACGGGAGTGGGAGAAGCAGACAGAAGAGACTTACTGGAGAAAGCAAAGCAGAATGCTGTCTGACACCTCCAGGTTGGCTTTAGTTGTGTGGTCTTGACTTAACCACAGAATCCTTTTGTGTAATAATACTACATAATACTTTACAAATATCTTAAGAGCGTTACGTGATGACTGTGTAATATAAAGAGACCATGGTGGGTGTAGAGATCTTTGCTTCCTCCACAATGAATCCCCAGGAATCGGTCATACCACCTGCTTAAGTCTGACCTTTTATCTATTCATCTAGATGTATATAGCTTTCATAAGATTAAATAGGCCAGGCTCTCTGAAGCAGTTGGGGTACAAGCGCTTAAGTAGCATGTCAGGATGTTGTAGGGAGAGTCTAAACGTACTGGCATTTAGAAGGAGCCGTAGGCTAGCAGTACACAAAATTGTTCTAGTATGGGGTCCTGCAATACCCCCAGTACTGGCTGTTGCTGAGGGGGTATCTGTTAAACCATCCTGGCATGCCTGAGGATCTCGCAAGCTAGATGGAAACAAGCTGGTTGGGGGGTGTGTGGATTTTTTTGGTTTGTTTTTTCTACGTTTAATTTTTACTAGTGTGAAGACTTTCCAGAAGCGTGTATGTTGCAGGAAGTGGTTTTAGTTTCTCAGGAGAGAACACCTTTCATGCCTGTGCTGAGTCCACTGGTGTTGCTTGGCTAAGGAAATGTGGCAGTTCAAGTGAGAAACAGAAGTACAGCCATAGACATGTGAGATCACTGAAAACTCTGCTGAGGCTTTTTGTTGCACTGGGAATCTTAGTCCTGGTACCTGATCAGGTTCCAATTCCAGTAGGTCAGTTCTACTTCCCACCTTCCCCATCTGCTGTTTTTCACAGCTTATGTCCCACTGCATTTTGTTAGTCTCCTCCTGCAGAGTATTCCGGAGGAAGAAAACTGCAATTTTAGTGATAGGCAAGGTAAAGAGGGAGCCCTTTAAAGTGCTGTGAGCATCACTGTTTGCAAATAATTTTGCTGTGCATGGAGAGCAACGGTCAATGTGAACAACAGGGTTAGCTACTGAGTTGGCTTTGTGAGAGCTCTTAAGGATGACTATCTGTTGAAATGATATTCAGTCTTCTTGCATAGATGGACATCCAAGACTTGCTGGATTTTTGCTCCCCTCGCTGGACTAACCCCTTGCTCAGAAAGTTTCTCCATCAGAACTGACCGCTGAAGGACAACTGTTCTCTCTCTGCAGCAGTCGGATGCGCAGCGATGGCTTCGATGAGGAGAGCCACAGGGCCGACTGGAGGGCAAAGACCTCGCAGTTTCTTGACCCAATCGAAGATGATTTTAGGGCACGGTCCTGGAATAAAAAGCTCTATGAATGCGAAGCCAACATGCCGGACAGGTTTGTGGAGGAATTAATACTCTGAGATTACAACCAGAGCACCTTTCTGGAGTCCTGTCCCCAAAAGTTGGTATTTTTCTCTTTTCAGTACACAATCCTATAAAATAGTGGTTGGTCGCATTTTGAGGCTGAATAAGTTAAGACTCGCACACTTGTGCAATGTTACGGAGTGCCTGGATTTGAATGCATTCATAGAGTTCCTAAGTGACATTAAGCGTAGTGTTTATTACTTTGCTCAAGGAATTGGAAAAAAAATCTTGAGAAATGCAGGTTAGTGCTCTCAAGTATTTTAAAGAAATGTGAGTTGTGCCAATTTGCTAATCTGAAATGAGAACGAAACTGAGAACATAACGTGTTAAAATAGTACCATCCAAATTGGTTGTTTTTCCTTCCTCCTTTGATGAGGAGGTTCTGATATCCTTTCTTCTTTGGTTCTAAACTCCTACTCGTTTTGAGGCTCTGTCCTTTCAGAGCTTGATTTGTTCATTTTTATTTTTCTTAAAAGCCTTGTCTGTTCCTAACAGATGTTTCTGCTTCCTTACAGATGGGGTCACAGTGGCTATAAAGAGTTATACCCTGAAGAATTTGATACAGATAGGTAAGGCGAACAGGCTCAGTAATGAATTCAGAATCTTTATTTCAGTCAGGTTGTGCAGGGAATTTTGCAAAACGAGTTTTCAACGTTGACTATAAATCAACCTTTACTGTCAAAGCAGAGCTTTTCGGTTAGGGACCCCTCTGAAAAAGTTGAGTCCGTTAACACGGATTTTTTTTTTTTCCAATTCAGAACAAATGTCATCATTTCATAAGGATGCTGGCATTAACCTTCTAAGGCAAAAAATACTGAGTTAAGGCTTAAGTTGTCGTCGTCTTTTGTGATGCTCTCTGCCCTGTGTCAGGTTTTCCCTTGCCTGAGCCTCAGAAGGGGACCGTAGATCTTACGTTTATTAGACATTCAGCTGTAGCTTCAGTCCATAAAATGTCAGGAATCTGAGAGGTCTGCCTGATTAGTAGACTGGATCCAAATCAGCTCAGTACACAGCCTCTCAAATATCAGCTCCGGGTTCCCCTTTGTGTTACGGTGTACCTGGATTATCTGTGTTGCTCCTTATTTGGAGAATATGAACCCTCCCCATATCCTTCAAAATGGAGACTTGATTGTGTAATAAAATCTTAGGCAGCATTGTTTTTCAACTATATCTAGCAGAATCATCAAGTACGCTAGTCGTCTGGAATTTTAAATTCACAGATTTGAAATAACCTGCTGTCAATGAGTTTTTCATACACAGTAGTTTTAAATACATGTACTCCTTCGTTCTGGCTAGAGCATCTTAAACATCGCTATTAGAAAGGTATAGACCCAAACCATAAAAAAAAAAAAAAAAAAAAATAACCCACACACTTTAAAAAGAAAAAGCAGCTCCCCAATTCTTCATAAGCCAGGTTTCCTAAAAAAAAAAAAAAAAAAAAAAAAAAACTAACACACACATTTAAAACAGAAAAAGCAGCTACCACATCTGTCATAGCATCCATCTCCCTGCACAAGCCTAATGAATCAGTGGGCTTGTTTAAAACTTTGAAACTGAAAAGGCTGAACTCTTACATGCCTGCCTGTCTACTTCCTTCCAGTCATACTTGTTCTTCTTACAGCGATCAGCAAGAAGGAGATGAACAAAATGCTGTCAATGGCAAGAAGAAATCTCATCTGGGAAAGCAACCTGCCCGTGATTCGCACAAACGGAAAAAAACAAAGAAATCACACAGGAAAAAGCAAAAAAAACGATCACACAAAAAGCGAAAGAAAAAGAAAAAGGAGCAGGCAAGAACATCATCCGATTCTTCCCAGGAGAGTGAGTGCTCAGAAGAGACTTCAGGTACCCGCAAAGGGAAACACAAGCGCAAGAAAAAGACCAGGAAAGTGCCTGCCAGGAAACCTGCCTCTTCTTCTGGGCAGGAAAGTGACTTTTCCCATGCAAGCAGCTCAACCACCAGCAGCTCTGAGGACAGTGAATCTGAGGAGAAAAAAGAGAAATGTCCCCCCAAAAAGAGAAAGAAACGTCATAATTCTGTGTCGGAGAGGAACAGTGAAGTACCAGAGAAGAGGAGCAAGAGGAAGAACTGGAAAGTGGCAGCTGACGAGAAATCAGAGGATAGCTCAGATGAGGACTGATGAGGAAATACCGAGCCTAGGCTGCAGCTCAGACAATAAGGTAGAGGACAGAGGCGGGTGTTTTTCTTTCAGCACTGCCCCACGGTACAACGTGTTCAACACTGTGGTTTATCCCTCCTGCCAGCCCGCAGGGGAGAAACTGAGCTCTGGCTGCCTGCAGGACGTGCCCCCTTGCTTTTCACTGACTTGACATTGGAAAAGCTGGGGAGCAGCGGCCCGCCTCGCAGGTTGGCTGGTCCTGCCTACTCCAGATTGTCTTTACGTCGCCAGATTGACCTTTGATGCACAGAAACGTCACAGGCTGTCTACAGGCGTGACTGCACCATTTTTATTTTTTTAATTAAGTTTTAACAGATTGTTTCCTTTTTTCATGACCCAAGTAATGACCAACACATGCAATAAAAGAGCGGCAAGATGAAAGTCCGTCAGCCGAGCTGATGACAAAGGAAACGCCATTGGGTTTACACGGTAGCTTTGTCTTCCCTCCCTCCAGCAGAAGCGGATCTGTGTGGCCCTGTGCAGAGTCAGCTGGAGGCAGAAGGGAGCACAGGGGAATGCTCTCATTCCGGCGGAAGGTGCGGGCACTCCTTCCACAACGATGAAGGAGGGAGAGCCGCGTCTTTGCTCGTGGTTGCTGGCTGGCCGCCGCGTCTGCCTTTCCTCCTTTCCCTCTAGGGGAACGCAGAGCGCGGACAAGCCTCGGTGGGTTTTGCGTTCTTGGTGGAAAAACAGGTACGGGGCAGTTCTCCCTGCAGTAGAACAGCCAAGCCTTCCTTTAAGAAAAAAAAAAAATAAAATAAACGCGGAGCTGTTGGCTGCTTTTGTCGTTGTTGTGGAGCGAAGCCCAGGGAGCGGGCGCAGGCGAGCGCCCATCGCGGCCGGGGCAGGGCCTCCCGGG